TCTTATTTTTGAAATGATATGTAGGGTAAATTTGATATATGAATTTTTCCCTTTTATTATTGGGGCATATATGAAATTTTCCGCTAAGTCAAAACCTTGGCTCATGACTCAAAACGTTTTTGTGTCATAGGGATTCTGAGCTGATCCATACCGGCCTTGGGCGGCCCAACCTATTGAGATGGACCTTTGTTATATCTTGAAGAACCATAAAGTTAATGGGCCTAGTACAGGCCATTAAGAACCCATACCCAAAAAAAGAGGCCTAATAGCTCAACAAGCCTCAAGCTGAAAACACTGCCAATTCAACATGTGTGAAATACTTGTCCAAGCTGTTTACTCCATTGAAAGAATTTATTTGGATTCACGTAGGCTAATTATCAAAATTCAAATTAATATCTGGACTATTTCTTTCAATAAGATTGACATTTTAAAATGAATTCCCAAATCTAACGTAGTATCAAAGCCCATTAAAATCAAACAAACAATTTGATCCGATTAGAATTCAAACAAGCACACCAAATTTTAAGACTGGTTTGCTTAAATGAACCATCATTTTGCGGGGCATGTTAATTGATAAATTTTACGACTACTAATTAACGAAGTATAGATCAATATATAAAAGTTTGAACTACTCTTCTTAATAATGTAGACATTTTAAGATAGAACACTAAATTTTAATATGGTCGATCTACCAAGATGGACTAGTTGTCAGGCTACGGAAGGAAACTATAGACCGAATATCAAAAAATGAGGGTGAGGTCGACAAGTAACTAGAGAAAATAGCCCAACCGATAGGAAATATTAATCAATCACAAGAATGATGACCAAAGATCACCTGATAAAGGGAAAACATCAGATTTCAACCATCATTCATATCAATTATCTTGACTTCTTCTTTTTTTAAATCCAGACGTTGACTCGAGCTTCGAAAGGTATACGAAGAAAACCCCTTCAGGCGCCCGTGACATTGCTATTGGAGTCAAGGCGGAAAATACACCACCGACAACCATTTTTTTTTCTTTTTTTTTTTAATGTCTATTTCTTCTTTTCTTTCTATATCTTTGTGACAAATTTCCAATCAAACCACAATACTGTACAACTTCTAACACAATTGGCTGCAGTGGAATTGCTTAAGTCAGGATTCGAACTCAATACAACGCTTCGTTGTCACACAGCTGGTGATACTCTCTAATGTGACAAGATTTGTATTAGAAAGGATAGTGAGTCTAACTCAACCTAACAAAACGGCTTGTTAGGGGAGGATTGCCACCACCTTATTAAGTGGATCGTGTTAATATTACTAGTCAATGTGAGATTCTAATACGTCCCTGCACACACAGCATGGACCATGCCAAACAAT